CGCTTGTTATTTCCTTCATGATGAGTTTGATGCCGAGATTGACGCTGCGGTGAGAGAGTTGGTTGAGATGATTCGGGGGGCGCAGCAGAGTGATGGATATCTCAATGTTCATTATACTGTTGTTGAGCCGGGGAAGCGGTGGACAAATCTGCAGGATATGCATGAATTGTAAGTCAAGTAGCCGCATCCTTTTGTTTCTTATACTCATGTCTCAGATACAACGCTGGTCATCTCATCGAAGCAGCCCTAGCCCACCACCAGTACTACAAGAACGACCTTCTCCTGGAGCCCATTGAGAAATACGTCGCCTTGATCCACAGCACTTTTGGACCAGGCGATAACCAACTGCACGGATATCCTGGACATCCCGAGATCGAATTGGCTCTGTTCCGCTTATACCAAGTTACCGGTAATAAGAACGCTTACGACCTTTCCCGATACTTTCTCGAAGAACGAGGGAACCACAAAGGTCAACATGGACAGCATTACTTTGAATGGGAGTCGAAGCAGCGTGGCCAGAGTCTCTACCATCGACCTGATCCTTACCCCGAACACGGATCTCACTGGTACTGCCAGGCTCACCAACCCATTCTGGAACAGCAAACCGTCGAGGGTCATTCCGTGCGCGCAATGTATCTCCTCACTGCTGTAGCCGACATGCTCTGCATCGACATATCCGGCTCTCAATCCCTCTCCTCCTCATCAAGCTGGAAAGACGCCGTATACCGCCTCTGGGACAACATGGTCACCAAAAAGATGTATCTCACCGGCGGTATCGGCGCCATCAAGCAGTGGGAAGGTTTCGGACGCGATTATTTCCTCCCTCAGTCCACCGACGAAGGCGGATGCTACGCTGAGACCTGTGCGTCCATTGCGATCATGATGCTTGCCGAGCGAATGCTGCATATCGAGCTTGATGCCAAGTTTGGTGATGTCATGGAACTTTGCTTGTATAACAATGTCATGACGGCGATGAGTCTTGACGGAAAGGCGTTTACGTACGTCAATCAGCTGGGGAGTTCGGAGAGCGATAAGAGTGTGAGGGAGGAGTGGTTTTGGTGCGCGTGCTGTCCGCCAAATGTGACGCGTTTATACGGATCGTTGGGGGGGTATCTGTGGGATTTTGGGGAGGGGAAGGAGAAGGATGCTTTTGTGAATGTGCATTTGTATACGAATGCTGAGTTGAAGTTTGGGGTTGGGGAGGGAGAGGTTGTTCTTCGACAAGAGACGGATTGGCCGTGGGATGGACTCGTCAAGTTTCGACTTACGAGTCCCTCGGTGAGCACCACGATAAGGCTCAGGATTCCAGGCTGGTCTCAAAATCAATATGTCCTGGATCCAAAGCCTATCGAAGGTAGTGCTCACTTGCACAAAGGCTACCTCACGCTCGATCCAGCTTACACAGCAGCACATCCCGTCTTCTCACTAACCATCGGCAACTTCACGCCTCGGTTCATCACTCCGCATCCCTACACGAACCAGCACACTCTGACACTTGCTCGAGGGCCACTGGTGTACTGTATCGAGGATGCAGACAACGCATGGGAAGACAATCACTTCAAGGACGTTGGACTCAAGGCCGGTAGTGCGGTCAAGGAGGAGAGGCTGTGCATTAGCGGGACGGATGAAGAGTATATTGCGTTGAGGACTTCATGCTGGAGACGCAGTGGGAAGTTGGATGAGGCGGTTTCTTCACCTGGTTTTGTTGTCGAGGGAAAGAGTTCCGGGTTCGATGATGAGAGGGAGGGTGTATTTGTGCCGTATTACCTTAGGGCTAATAGAGGAGGAAACGGGCATATGAGAGTTGGACTACATCATATACAGGGCTAGTTCCTCTCTTAACAAGAACATAGAAGACATATGTCAGAATTTAGTCAATTAGATTTGTTAAGTTCCTTATATCGGTCGGACTTCATTCTCTCCAATTATCATAAGTAGAAGTTGAAACTGGGGTTGGAAGAGGAGTATTAGACTACCATGAGCATCCCAAAGACGTCTCAACGACATGATTTCAGTCATTATACTCTAAAAGCTTCCTGTACTTCTCACCCCTAAGTACAATCCTATGCGGAAATGGCTTGACACGAGATATGACACCCGGCAACTGCTCATACCCAACCTCAATCTCATTCCCCTCACCATCCAACTCTTTCTTAATCTCAAAAACCGCTAATGTCCGCGCAATACTCAAAAACAGAGTCTGATCAGCGATCCACCTCCCCGGACATGCTCTCCTCCCAAAGCCAAACACAAGATCAGACGGTGAAGGTTCGTTATACGGCTCAAAATACCGTTCAGGCTTGAACTCCATCGGATCATGGTAGACTTCAGGGTCGTGCGTGAGAGACGCTACCGCTGCAAAGAGGAGAGTGTTCCTGGGGATGAAGTACCCGCGGTATGTATCGTCTTCAGTCGTCATGTGCGGGAAACCCATTGGGGCGAGGGTGTGCCAGCGGAGGACTTCTTGGGCTATGGCAGTGATGTAAGGAAGATTTGGCTTGTCGGAGATTGAAGGGAGGCGAGAATCTCCGATGATGCTGTCGATTTCTTCTTGGGCTTTCTTTTGGACGTTGGGGCAGAGAAGTATGGCTGCGAAGAAGGCGAGGAGTGTTGCGCCGGTGGTGTCGGTTCCTGCATTCATCATCGATGCTGCAGTCCATGCAATGACACTCTCTTCCTCGGGATCGATCTTACGGTGGACGTCTTTTATGAGTCCAGCGACGTAGGAAACATCATCCTCACCATTAGCCATCTGATCCTTGACGTATTGGTACGGATCCTGGACGTTTTGCAAGAGATGCTGCCTGAAGAGTTTGGCGGTCTTCTTGAACCCAGCGCCTGGCATCCAGTCTGGAATGTGTCGGAGCCATGGGATGAAGTCTACCAGCCATGCACCTGGAGTCGTAGCCTGAGAGAATTCTTCCATCACGAGATTAGTCATGGTGACTATGTGATCGCTCTTGCTGGGATCTATCTCATAGTTGTACAGAATGCGGAGCATGATGGAGCCGGATAATCTGTAGTCGTGTGAGCATTCGCTTCGGGAGATGGAGGAAAACGTACCGGTTCAAATGATCTGGAAGCTTCTGACTGTTGCAGTCTTGATGTAATCTCTTTAGTAGCTTGAGAATCTCTAGTTCTTGAATAGGCTCGAATCGGGTGATGGATTTGGGGCTGACTTGGGTGGCTGTGAGTTTGCGATGCATGCGAAAAGTTCGATTGTACGGCATCAAGCCCATAACCCCATCATACCCAACGCTACAACAGCTCGTCAGTATATCATACAGTCAACTGGGTGTCTGGAGCTTACATATCGCCAGCAAAGACGAGCTTGGGCCGTGAGGCACTTTTCATGGCCCGCGTCTCAAGAAGATCCGTGATGACCTGTCTGTCATGCAAAATAACAAAATGCTGTCCAAGCACAGTGACTGAAGTGATCGGACCGTATTTCTCTTTGTGGCTCTGCCAATGAGGCCATTCTAGTGTGCCGGGTGGCGGGAGGTCTCGTATGTTACCCAAGAAGGGCAGACCTTTGGGACCAGGTGGCAAGGGAGGTTTCTTGGATCGTTGTACATGTTTAACAAAGAGAAATGACAGTGATGCCACAATGACAGTTATTATGACAATATAAGCAGACATGTTGAAGGATGAAGGCAAAAAGTCTTTGTTATGGAGTGGATTCTAGAGGGCAATACATGGTATTTAATCTCTGCTTCCTCATAAGTAGCCTTTTAAGTTTGCTATGCTGACTCCCTTGCGCTACTGTCTCGACTAAGACGTCCGTCTGACATGGATCACTAGTCTTGATCTTGGCATCAGCACCTAAGAGATTATCTCCGTGCCTCTCCCGTGCTTGGTTGCAGTCAGATTTTGGGGCTATGAGCGGGACCATCCGCTCTGGCGTGTGTTTGATTGGGCGATTGAAGATGGGACAACTCGCAATGCGGCTCACCTCATTGGATGCTGTATTCGCTGGCATTTGAAACCTTTGACTGTGATGAATGCGAGATCAGCGTTGGGGGTTATGAGAGTCTGTCCTCTAAGACTCTGTCTTTCTTTCAGGTAGTTTCAGATTTCTTCATTTACTTTTGACATCGCATTGTTCTCCCAGATGTCAATAAACAGTCCGGCATTAGCAATGTTCCACTTCGCTGCTGACATCAGGATCTGTTGATTGTATAAGTTGCTCGCCACGAAACAAGTCGCCTCTACAAAATGATTCATACCTTGACGACATCCTCGAAGTACAGGACAATCCAATCGATATCGGGCCATGCTATACGGCGATATTTGAAGAATATTTGCTTCGGGCACCAATTGAAAGATGGCTTTGAGAGCCATCTTCATTCACTTGACTTGAAGTCTGTGTCCTCGAACATCTGGGACTGAGCTCGCTCAACATCGGAGGAGACTTGTCGAGAATGTCGTTTTGAACATGTTGGCAACATCAACGGATGCTCCCGGAGCATTGAGAACCGGCACTGGCTTGAGAAATATTCCGTTGATCCCGAGTTAAGAGATTAAATTCAGCTTTGAGACTCAATTGCAACGGAGAGAGCTGGCTTTGACTGGGTCTGTGCTCTGGGGTCCCACCTCTTATCGCCTTGTAGATCAAGTGAATGAGATGCAGAGCTGCAAGGCTGAAGTCGTAATTCGAGAAGTTCCTCTAGCTAAATGTATGGAGATTTTCATCTGAGCAGACGTGCCCAATATCGCACCGCATAGCCATCTCGTTATGGTAAATTCCTACTCCTCCCGCCTTTAGATTCTCAACCTACCACCTTCACCTTACAACACAACACAGGACTCATCCTGTCACCTCTCGCATCGCGCCTCACAAGCGATAGAGAAAGACAACCAGGTTCGTTACCTCACAAGGTCATCATCATTCTTTCTTCATCGATATCTCACTGACGCTTATTTGTAGTCACATCGTGCGATCGCACAACGAGGCAATCCGCGCAGAACCACAACTCCTTCAGCTAGAGGCCGGCATCATCATGGCTTCCAACGATAGAGATCCTTGCAATGGATCTGTCGAGAACGATGAGTCTCCCATCATGCAGCGTCTGATGGCCATCATCGGGAAGGATGTCGAAGATTTTGTGAAGGAGCGTGAACAAGCCACAGAAGCGAGAGCCACCTCGCGTCTCGCTTCAAGAATCGATCATCAGGAGTCCACCATCAAAAACCTCAAATCCGGGTCTCAACTTATAGCGCGGAATAATGCCGACCTCAAAAAACGCCTCGAAGCCTCAGAGAAGCAAAACGCTGATCTCAGAGGGCTCCTTGCAGTCTCGGAGACACGTATCGCTGAAGCTGATGCTAAGGCTGCTCAGGCCATAGCCGAAGCTGCTAAGGCCATGGTCGACGCTGATGATCGCGTCGCCCGAGTCACCGCTGATTACCAGGCTCGCACTCGTCGGTTGATGGAGTGCTTACAGCCGTCCGAACAGAGTGGCAGCGATACCGCCTCAACTGTCGCTCATGCCGGAAACGAAAGCGGTGGTTCCGCGACCGTCATCAACTCGTCTGTCAGTATCGGGCGACAGAACAACCAACCCGAGCAACAGCCCTCTCCCAGCAGCTCAGACGCCACCGCCAACGCACGAATCAAAAGAGAGGAAAGTCTTCTTCATCTTTCCGTCGCTGGTAATCAACCAAGCGATGGAAGCGAGATGAGCGACGACTCCCTCACGTCCAATGATGGAGGAGATCTGGACCTACTTGAGTGGTACATGTGGCGTAGCGAGTCAAGCGATGTCTCCAGCATGTCTGAGGATGAAGAGATAAAGCAACAACACGAAGCGCCCAGCAACGATGATGGTGTAAGACATTTCGGCGGCATATCGCCCGATGACCTGCTAGTCGATGAAATCTCTGAGATTAAGCGCGAGGGGCGTTGGGAGTTGAAAGAAGAGGATGAGGCTGTCAACGGGCGTGGCGAAGGCGGTGCCAAGCGTCAACGAACAGAGTAGGGGCGACAACTACTAGAAACGACACTCCCAGTATCCTTCTGCCAATTTGGATGGATAATTCGTTCGGGAGATCGTGTCACTGGTCGTAGAATGGGAGATGAGGCAGAATGATCAAAGGCTGTCTTGTAGTCGCTATCTTGAACGATAATGGAGGTTAACGGGAGGGAAGAAGAGGACTCCTCGGCGTACTCAAGTAAAGACACCAATACATTCCATTCTATTCGATTGCCATCATCTTGTTACCATGCTCGCGTTCCGATAAAAGGTCAAGTTCCTCCATAGACGCGTCTTCTGTGCATTCTCACCAGTCGCGTCGACTTGGCGTTCTCTGAGTGTTCCCAATTAAGCGTAGTGCCATTTTCCACTTACCCGGGACACTCAAGTCAATTGAACTCGCGGACTCATCAAAATTTTGATAATCGCAGCTGGTTAGTTAATCCGCTCCGAGCTCTACAGGATACTGCCGGCTTATTCCCGGCTCACTAAGGGCAGACTGAAAACGAGTTGAAGCTGGTCTTTGGCTGAGTGAAAAAAGACTGCACATCATTGCTATGCGATATCAATAAGAAGACTTGTTGATTTAACATTCTAGGAAGAATCCGTCGCGCTATCTTAATTTACCTGCAGTTTCTCGAGCCCAACGTAGGGATCGGGAATAACACGTCAGAAACGCTTTAGAGCCGGATCTCCATATTTCAGGCGACTTTGCGGCCCGACCAGCGCAAAGCTCATCGACGCGACCTCGGTCTGTTATTTCCATGCAAGGATCCCCAAGTCACAAGCTTTTCGGGAGTGGACTTCGGCATATTTTTAATTAAAACAAGATCCAAGTTTCTAGCGTTAGGACGCGACAGCGGACAGCCCCGTGAGTTAACGTTTTGGCTACGGCTGCCTCCTTGAATCCACAGGCCTCGTGTCGTGCCGAGGTGGCTGGTTACGCCTCGCGACAATGGGAAAAAGCACATGGCGCTGGTATTGGGTTGAGGATGGAGTAACCAAGGGAACCCAAGGGAGGCCAGTAAACGCTGATTGACGGGGTCATGTTGTTTCCGCTGTATTATTTTGGGACAGACACGTGTTGTGCTGCCTCTAGCAGTCCCATGGTTGTTGGCTGGTGATGTTTTGTCTCAAAATACGGTCGCTACCCTATGACTCGACGATGAGTCAACTTTGCGCGTCGAATACCAGCAACAAGCACAGTTGAAAGGGAAATACATTAGAGTGGTAAAATTAAATGAATAATAACATTCATTTGATCAACAAATATTCATAAAAAGTGATTGGTATGTGACGTCGCGGCAATGTTGAGGCAAACACGTGGTTAATCTCCAGACTTAGCAATCACCACAGACAAGACACTGAATCTATCACGGTCGCATCATTACCACGAATGAGAAAATGCCATAAAAATAACACAAATCGCTTGCAATTAATTGACAAAGAAGATCTAAGAGTAAAGAAGGTCTAAATACATCTAATTAACCCACCAAACATGTACATGAATTGAACCCCCGTCATTTTGCCATCGCAACTCCAAAACTTTTTAAACCCAAGTCCAAACTTTTACAATTACATGTCCCGCCAATTCATACATAATAAAATACACGCTAAACCACAAAGAATCGAGGGTATCCTATGATGTACAAGTAGCCAAGCTTACAGGTCAAAACTCCAAACAATTGTGACAAACAGAAAGAAAATTAGAGACGGTTCGTGAGAGCAATGCCCGGCGACGCAGGGCGATCGAGCTCAAGACGGTGCATGTGCGCGTCGAGAGCACTGACGGATGTAGACGCGCCGATGGATGTGTGGCGCTTGTGACGCGACGTCTTCTTGGTGACGCTCATCTTGCGAGGACGTCCGTTCTTCTCGGCGGGTGACTTGGGGCACTTGTCGTCGCATGTAGCGGTCGAGGAGATGGAGGACGTGGATGAGTGCGTGGATGTCGTGCTGGCGTAGGATGAAGCGCGCGAGATGGAGGAGTGGATGGATGAGCGCGACGAAGCTGTCTGGGGACGCTCGGCGATGTCGGAGAGAATCTCCTGCGGCGTGCGAGGCTTGTCGTTCACCATGCCCAGACAGCGCTGCCACCAGCCCTTGTCCTTCTCATCAGAGAACTCAACCATGTCGCCGAGCGCTTCCTCAGCGCGCTCCGTCTTGTCCTCGTCGAGGCGCAGGGCTCCGTGCTCAGAGGCCAGCTCCAGCAGGGCGGCTGCATCGCAGGCGTCGCGTCGCTTGCTGTTGTCGTTCTCGTGCAGGCCGCAGGCGTCCATCTTGAAGATGATGAGGTCCTCGAGCGACGTGTAGGGCAGAGTCGCTTCGTTGGTTACGTCGCGGACGCGCTTCGCTGACTCGGGGAGGTATGGGCTGAGCCAGTCGGGGATGAGCTTGACCTCGATCTCCCAGCCGCTCGTGTGGCGGTACAGAACGGTGCCGGACTTTTCGACGAGGGGGCTGATCGGGTGGCCGACGATTTCCTTCTTGACGCGGCCGGGGGAGGAAGATTTGCTGATGACCAGGTCGATGCTCTACGACGTTCAGTGTTAGATGGTGCGTAATAGTGCTCGCAATTGAGGGGAGACGTACTGCTATGCGGTTCTGGCGCGAGAGATACTTTGCGACAGCCAGATCGCCAATGACGGCGAGTCTGGTGTTGTCCAGGCCGGGAATGTCGGCGATGAGACGGATGATGTGAAGTGCAGCTTGTTCAAGCTGGGCGAAGCTTAGTCTTTGCGCCATGGTCTGCACAGTTTGCTTTCTCTCACAAAAGCGACTAGAGACTTCGCCCGCTGCGTGTTCAAAAGGTATGAGATACAACGAGAACCCCTTCCATTCTCTGCCTGCGCAGTTCCCCTAGATATAATATGAATTGGCTGTGTTTTTTTTTTCTCGTGCCCTTTGGTCCCTGCGTCTACGGCACAACCCAAACAGTGCCCAACTTGGCCATTGCTACAGGGGGTTCCAAGGATTCTGCCAATGGGATGGTCTGTGTACCTGACCTGCCAATCTTAAAATCTCAGGGTATCCCAGTGAATTGCCATGGCTTCCGCGCGTTGGGTTTCAATGCCCAAGGGGGGAATTGTGTCTTCCTTGGAATGCGGTTTCTCGGGCGAATCGAATTGACAGCGATATCCTTGACAATGTGTTTTGTTGACTCGAGAAAGCAAGGCTCGCAGCTATTTCTTAGGGAGACGAAAGGATCTCGATTGTTGGAATGAGTGTGCTGGGAAATGAGATTTTTCAGCATTGACCTGAGGGCAGTGCTGACACGAGCCTCGAAGCCAGGGTTTTCTTTTTTCTGTCCCTGATTTTATTCCTTTTTACTCAATATCTCGAATATTTCTCGGGCAATTACGATGTTAATTCTCGTGGAAAACTTTTATCGCATGACTTTTACGGGGAATTCACTATTAACTGTCCCGGGTTGATCCAATGTGTTTTGATCCGGGCATTTTAATGGAAGGGCCCGAGGATCGTGATCAGCGGCACAGTGAAACAGGCAGCGTAGTTTCAGGCTGACATTTACGATAGCGTTGGAATGAGCCCTCCCTTCAAAACAATTCGAGTCATACAACGAAAATTAATGGGCTTTTAGATTTCCCCAGGATCACGGGCCGCAGCGGATTTATTTCCATTGACTATCCACTCCGTGCACCTTGCCCGATTGAAGACGCTTGCGTAGATGGTAACGAATGACGTCGCGTTCCCTACAGATACGCATTTAAGGATCAATTGAACCAGCCACGTATTTATCCATACTGGCGATGCTTGAAAGAATTAACCTCTATCTTCTTTGAAATGATTTGAACTGGATGTCACCATAATAAATAATTGTGTTGTGATATTGCCTTATTGGCATGCAAATCGAGACAAGATCAAGATTAAGCTCGTTTAGGCATGACAACGGAAAGTCATATGGTCGGCAACAGGCTTCGTTCCCGTAAATGCAAGCATCGCGCAATTGAAGTTGACTAACAATTGTTTAAAAAGTAATCACGGCGATGCAAGACACTTGGCGCTTCCAAACGCGGTCACAAATCACCATGGCTGTCCATAATTGAAACGTGGAGTCAATTATCAGGCCTCGCAGGGCGAATCTGCCCTGGGTTTAGTGCTAACCAGTATACTGAGCTGCTTGCACTGTTCATATTCCTCAATAAAAAGCTGAAACCTTAACAACATCCGGTATGGTGTAGTGGCTAACATTTCGCGCTCTCATAATCTGAGGGATCAGTACCGCGGAGCCCAGGGTTCGATTCCCTGTACCGGAGTTTCCTTTTGCCGTTTTCGCCGTCGAGTCCTCCTACCAATTCATGTTTTAACTATAACTACTATTATTTATCCTTATATACGCGTTCCCTTTTTGTTTATCTACTGTATCTGTAGTAAATCTGTAAATATTAATAATATTGACCTTCAATGTCCTGCCGTTGACTCCTCCGAAAATCCGGCCCCAAAATCTCCTCCTCACTCTGATTCTCGCCATATCCCCTCTCTGCCCCTTTCGCAAACACCTTGTTCTTATTATATGAACTTCCGACGCCCCTCCGCTCATACTCTTGCACGAAGGCTTCAGAAGTACTGTCCTTCTTGTGTATCTGCGGTGGATACATTGTACTTCCACCAATGGTTTGTAGAGGATATGATGCGCCAGAGTTCTGCTCCCGATATTTGCTGCTGCCCCGAGAACTCCATTTGCTGAAATACTTCTTGTAAAGAGGTCTGCAGACGGGAATGCCAATGCAGATCATTGTCACGGTCATCTCGGCGGCGGACCAGACGATCAGTCCGACGGGGTCCTCTGATGGATGTTAGTGCTGATTCGTATGGGTTGAGGCAAACGTACTAGTGTGATTCGGACTCTTGAGCTTTGGCACTTCGAGAGTTCTTTTGATGCCAAATGCTCCGGCACTAGAATATCGTTAGTCAGACTTGGAGAAACATGATTGGAGATGTCCATACATGACGCCGAGACTGAGACTGCTGAGAATGACAATCTT